CTATCAAAAATCAATTTTTGATGTTCATTGTCTCTAAATTGACTAGCCCTGATCTACGAGAATTACGCAATCCAACATGTCCGAGGACTCGAGAAACTTCTTGCTAAGCGCAAGAGAGACAAATGATCGGGTAGCACCCGAATCAAACAACACATGAATTGGGATACAGTACGATCCTAAACAGAACATACATATCACATATCAAAATCACAGTGACATAACATAAAAGATTAGAGAGAAGAAATCATACCCGTCACTACATCGGGTGCAGCGCGTGCCTCCTCGGCTGTCAATTGAAACACTCGGCTCTACACCACTGGAGCCTCTGCCTTGACCTTCCGACCATCCTCAACTCGTGCTGTCGCTGGAGTCGGCACCAACACTGGCGCTGCTGCTGGGTACTGCTGACAATCAAGGGCAGTTGGCCTTCTTATGGCCCCTCTGATTGCAATGGAAGCAAATCAGGTCTGACTTCTGAACTGTGGGGGGCAGGGGAAGTACAATCCCTGCCAAAGTGTCGCATCTTGCCGCACTTATAACAGCCCGACGATCCTGCCCTACAAGCTCCCTCATGCGGCCTACCACATTTCCTGCAACAGCTCTGGCCCGGCTGGCCCTTCGACCTAACGTTGGATCCCTTGGATTTCTTCCCCGAAACCCCTGTAACCTTCTCAGTCTCCACCTTCCTCTTCCTAAGGTGCTCCAAATCAATATCCCTCTCCCGCACCCTAGCAATCATGGACTCCATGGTCGAGCAGGCTAAATAGGTGACGTGCTCCCGAATGTAAGCCTTCAACATGTCATGGTAGCGGGTCTTCTGCATCTCCTTATCCCCAATATACTGAGGTACCAACAAGGCCCTCTGTCTGAACTTGTCGGCGATCTCCGCCACTGAATCTGTAGTCTGTCTCATATCCAGAAACTCTATGGCCAGCTGCTGAAGCTCCATAGCTGGCGCAAAATCCTCCCTGAACCTAGTCACAAAGTCTGACCAAGTCATAGCCTCCACGGCTGGGGCTCCGAGTGAGTCACCGACTGACTCCCACCAATTCCTATCTCTGTCCCTCAAACAACCAGCATTAAAGTGGACCTTCGACCCCTCCGGGCAGAAGCTCGTCAATTGCACAGACTTGATGTCCGTGATCCATCTCCTAGTTGCAATGGGGTCCATCTCCCCATGAAATTCTGGTGCACCACTCCCTCGAAAGTCCTTAAAGGACAGTGTGCACATACCCGACTAGCTAGACGCCAAGTCACTCCTGAATGCTCGGAGGCGATCCTCCATCAGCTCAATAATCCCTTCCTTGATTGACCCGAAAATAACCAGGGTCGCCTCAAAGATACCCCTCGTGATCTCAGACGCGATGAACTTGCGTAGCCCGTCATCGACCTGCTCGGACCCTGCACCCTATCCCGATCCTGATCCTGATCCAGATCCAGATCCTGAACCTCCTGCTCCATGTCGTGTGACCACCATACTGGAAATAAAGCACGTAAATGTGAGGATCATACATACTTTCAAGAGGTCTCACACACTCCCCAAGTTTCCTGGTTCCGTCTTGGCCCTCCTTGACTCGAGTATGGATCCTCTACTTTCAGTAGTACGGGCCCATACTTCCTTCCACATCCATCCGTACTTTCCTCAAGGATTGCCTTAACTTCACCAAGTCCCTTAACCATTATCCCTCTCCGACTGATCTCATCCTAGGCTTTCCTAGGGCACCCTCCGACCTACTCTCCGCCATCAGCTGCACTAGGGGTCCCTAGCACCTTTCCCTAACTAGCACGCGAATATTGTTACATATTCGCTTACTAGTTAGTTAAAGTTAGCCAGAACCCCTATAGCACAAAGCAAGCAGGATTCGTGCATTGAGTAACCAAATCGAGCATAACCTAATCAGGCTATCTCACTGCTAACTAACAGCTTTAACATACGGCTCAATGAGCTCCTATAGCAGGCACACAAGCCATCCTTCCTAGATCCTTAGCCCTATTCTAGCATGCAGTTCTCATAAACACATAACAGGCATACAGGCATCCTACTAGATCCTAAGCCCTAATCTAGCATGCATCTCTCATAATCATATCATATAACATAGCAAGTATGGGTATCTTGGGGAAAACTTACTTAAGCTCGGCTGATCGCACGCATCACACACCTCGTTCTTTCTCAAAACTCTTTAATTTAGATTTAAAAAACAATTTCCTTGTAAAAATCTTTCAATCCCTCGGTTTGAGTTTAGACACCCCCTAGGGTGTGTCCGAATCCTTCAAACCAAGGCTCTAATACCAACTTGTAACATCCTAAATTTCGAGGCCAAAAATTTCATTTTTAATTAAGAGATCCATAACGTAATTCACCAAACATTGCCAATGTCATAAAAATTTATAAATAAAACATAACAACGTGTATGAAGACCATGTCATCAAAGTAATGAAAATCATAGTACAATCTGAGCAACTGCAAGCGGCACTACTAGAAAAACAGCCTTTCACGACACGCAATCAATGACACGTGCTGATAGAGGACGGGCATTTGTGCGTGCCCTAAAAATTGATGTTAGTTTTCCAAAATATGAAGCATAGAGGGCACGCATTCCTGCGTGCCCTTAAATTAGTGTCTAATAAAAATAAAAATAAAAGCACGGAGGGCACCTTAAATAAAATGTGCGCCGTCTAACCATGTCGTTTTATAAATTTTAATGAAACTCGCGTTGCATCTCTTATGGGGGGAAATGAAATCAAAAAAATTAAAAACCCCGCTTTGTTTCCACCGACTGAAAACCCTAGCTCGTCCCTGTTGAAAACCCGCTTTCTTTCTTTCTTCTCTCTTGATTCTCAAACATCCACCGCTTCACTTCTCCACAATGTGCTCAAAGTAGCCGCTCAAGTACCCGACAGTGGTCCATGTGTCACATACATCGGTGAAGGCGGTTCCGACAATTTCGTCAAAATGGTCCACAACAGAATCGAGTATGGTGACATGTAGCTGATTTCCGAAGCATATGACATGCTGAATCCATTGGGAAACTCTTGAACGAGGAACTACACAAAGTGTTCTCGGAATGGAATCTGGGGGATCTTCAAAGCTTCTTGATTGAAATCACCGCAGACATCTTCGAAATCAAGGACGACAAGGGAGACGAATATCTAGTCGACAAAGTGTTGGATAAAACAGGCATGGAAGAGACTGGAAAATGGACCGTCCAACAAGCGGCGGATCTATCAATCGTTGCCCCCACAATCGCGGTGTCTCTGGATTCGTGATTCCTGAGCAGATTAAAAGAGGAACGTGTTGAAGCTGCTAAGATCTTTAAATACAGTGGGTTCGGTGATATTCTGGGCACTCAAAATGTGGATACACAATAAACTGGTTCTTTCACGCCCTCAACAAACATTCTATCGGGTTCGTAATTCCTTTCCAAATCTTGGGTGTTAATCTTTAAATCTTAATCTTTAATTCGGAATTATGAAATTGAAATTGTGCATATTCTTTTTATGCACGGACATAACTACTTCGAAATTGACCTAGATATACATCAATTCAGCTACATCTCACGGAAAGCACTTGATGCATTCCAGGGACGATTGAAACATGGGATTCTTGGCATTGGTTTAACGATTCAGGTAAATTGGGTTTCTGGTTTTTGAATATGGAATTGGATTTTGTGTTGTGATTCATAAACTGAATATATGTATTTGATTGGATTCTCAATTTTTAGGCATGTCATCCTGAAGAACTACCCGAGCAAGTTTTATGCTGTGTTAGGCTTAACAAGATCGACTTTTCTGATCATGGTCAAATCCCAAAAAATTTAATACCAAATAGTGATTAATGCTACAGAAAAATGAGAATGGTTGTGGAGTATTTTGAATTGAGTAGGAAAGGTGCAGCCCTCATGGATATATTAGCAAAAATGCCAAAGTTCCCTGAACGTGAGGTATATTTAGTTTAGGGTTTTAATTGATCTATTGGTTTAATAGTTGACCACATCTTAGATAATTGATGTTGACTTTGATTATCTATTTGAAGTTCTCATTGATTAAGAAAGCAGAAGACACTGAAGTTGATACGGCAGAGCTAAGCTGATACTGCAGAGCTAAGTCCTCATTAATACTCCACAACTTAGTATGGTTAAAATCCCCACTGTTGACCATAATTCTGTGAATGTCTTGGAAAAGGACTATCATACCCTTTCTGTAGGTAGGAAGCTAATCATTTTGCAGATCTTATGTTATGGTGCCCTGGATTCTACAGAACCAAGGGCAGAAATAGACAATCGTGAAGAATTTGAAGTGGGACCAGATCCTGATGCAGTTATTGCATTCACTGAACCTATAAAAGACACACCTATAAAAATACAAGGTCTCCCTCCTAAAACCCCTTTACCCAAAGATCAAGAACCTGTAAAAGATATTCCTATTTCTAGTATTTAAAACCAGAACCTCTACTCATTCTGCCAGGATCACGCATAACGTAGTAACACAAAACCAAAAAAGTTATCTTTTTATGATTTTCCCAAAATACCCTTTAATTAATTAACTAATTAATGATGTTAAATTCGGAAGCTAACCTTGCAGAAAGGGATATTACCACAGATGATGCTTAAGCATGCTGCTCAACTAGGTAAAACTTTTTTGAATCAATAGTGTTAAAAATCGTATACCCAATTCTTTTTTTTTCATTTCTAATGCTAGATGTATGAGAAACAGAAGAGTTCACTGTTTTAGCAATTTGGGTATCTGAAATTCTTGAAGTTTGTTGTGATTTCAATCTAGATTCTTGTAATGAGGTCATCTAATTTATTCTTTCATGTTTTTCTTCTCTTCTATCTGTTCTTGAAGTATCTAAATGCACTTCTTGTTTTTCATTTCTAATGTTAGATTGCATATGTGAAACATAAGAGTTCTCAATTTTAGCAATTTGGGTATCTGAAATTCTTGAAATTTGTTGTGATTTTACTCTAGATTCTTGTAATGAGGTCATCTGATTGATGGTTTCACTGGCACTGCATGTCCACTTGGAGCTAAAGGCATATTAAGTTCTGCATCCAGATCGGGTTCATTATCAGGTTGAATATATGAAGGTACCCCTTCACCTTCAGTTTCTTGACCCATGTCTGCCTCCAAAGCATCAAGTTCTTAAACATTTCCATGAAGTGAAGTTAACATTTAAAAAAATAAAAATAATAATAATGAATTTGTGCTTACCACCCATGAGATCATCTTCATCAATATCATCTGGCACACTAAACTTCTACCAAGAGAGTCTTGTATCTCACTGCTTATATCCATCATGTCCATCATTTCATCTTGCAAATTCTAAACATAAAAACAAGATTAAATGATCTGTAATTACAAAGTATCAAAAGAAAGATATTCATAATATTTATACTAACATCAATGTCTTGTATCTTCACAGTTTTCATCATTCCTTTCAGCTCTTTGTTTGATCCCGTTTGTAGCAAATGCTTGATAATTGTGGCACATACTGTTTGCTGAGCATCTTTAATACCTTCTGAAGCGAATGAAAATTGATCCAGGTTAAATTTTTGATTGTACAACATGTCACGTTGTCCTTCATACCTGCTCAAGTATAACTTACTTTCATTATCAACTCTACAGTAGATCCAAAAATTCGAGGAGGTTATCTTGCCTTCACTTCTCAGGTAGGTTTTTTAATTCATACCCATGTTCAAAATACAAAAATATGTGATCCTTTTTTATTAAACATTTAAAATGCTATAAAGTTTATATGTTATTGTGTTGAAGGACTCGCCTAGTGTACTTCATTTGAAAAAATTATCAGATGTTGTCTGTAGGTAAGAAAAATTCTTCATTTCCTTCTTTCTTATTATTCAAATTTTACAGTGTATGATTTTATGATTTGGATTGCAATGAAAAATATTAGATATGGAGATGCTCAAATCTCTGCCACCAGATTCACCTGAGCAACAGGAGTACATAACAGCCATCCAAAATGAGGATGGATACAACTGGGGGTAATTCTAATTCATGCTCTTTAATTCTTGATTCTAAAATTTTATTTGTTCTAAAAATTATAAATTTACTCTTTTCTTTCAACAAAAAGTTATAATCCTGTGTTATGGGGAGTCCCTAAAGGAAGCTATTCAACTAACCCTAATGGTTCATTTCGTATAATAGAGCCTCACCTTATTGTTCATATTAACTCTTGTTTTCAATAAAAAAAATTAAATCAAACATGGTTCTGTAACTTTTGTTCATATTAACTTTTTTTTAACTATGATTACAATATGGATGCACTATGTGGTCCTGATGGTGAACTTCTAGAGAAGGTAAGGAATTTAGAGCCTCGCCTTATTGAGCACATTAGTAATGAGCCTCGTCTTATTTAGAAGCCTTATGCTACAATTATTTTACAAGAGCAATGGCCATTTATGTAATTTTACCGGTACCTAAATCTTGTATCAAAATGCATATTGTACAATTGACAGCATCCAGAAAATTTGACGAATCTTTGGCATTGTTTAAGTTACTTGCACCAGAAGATTCAAACCTTCGAGCCTCAAAGTAGCAGTCAATTCATATCAGGTAATATTTATGGACCTGAGAAGTTTTTTGGATATGAGTGGTAAAGTTTACTTATCATCTGGTATGTCAGATGACATGGACAATTCTTCACCTTCTCATACACCAAAGAGGTTATTTCAGATGTTGTTGGACACATCCATGAAAGCAATCAATCCAAAAGATCAAACAAGGTAACAATTTAACATTATTTAGAGTGAAGAGTATTAAAAGTTTTGATATATTTTTTTTAATTTTCAGGGGAGAGTCAACATGCCCCTTGACTCAGGTGCTAGAGAGATGGCATCAATATTAGAGATATGGGATCTCTGGGAATCTTCAAAATGAAATGGTATGTTACTCTTTGATAATGTCAACATCATTCATCAATTATGTTGTCGGGTGAGTAGACTGCATATAATGATGTTCGAACTTTTATAAAGATTCATGAATCATATTTGAAGTTTCTTTTGTTTACTCTTCATGAAGGAGGTTCTAGAAGCAATTCGTATAAGCTGTACAGGGTACCATACCAACAAGGCTTTTGCTGATTTTGTTAAGCAATTTGGTCTTCTAGTTCCCAAAGTTTTAAGATCAAAGTAAGTAAAATTGATTTAAATCCTAATGGATTTGTTTACTTATCACTTGTTAAGCAATTTGATCTATATATTTCTTGCAGTTCAATCGTCGCCATCGATCCAAGTCGACCTCGATCTAGATTAAGGTCACCGTGGGTTGTTAGTTTCATAGGAATGTATAACTCATGTTAGCAATGTATTACTTTTGTTTAACATTTGAATGATCATTTGTATGATATAATAATTTGTGTAATTTATTTTATTTTTTATATATGAGATTTTATTTTATATTATGAGACATTAAATGTGTCATGTAATTTGAAAATTAGTAAATTTACGTAAATCTATAAATAACTTTTTTTAAAAAAAATAAAAGTTACGATACGCAAATATGTGTGTCATCTTCATTTATGACATGACCTTTCTTGACAGCTGCTTACGCATTGCGTGTCATAAATGTGCGTCGTCTCTAGACGACGCGCAAAAACGTGTCATCTCTCGTTATGACAGGGCCTTCCTTGGAGCGCATTTGCGCGTCGTCTGAGCGTTTTACGACGCGCAATGAGCGTCGTAAAAGGCTGTTTTTCTAGTAGTGTGGAAACCATATGCGTGTGTGTTTGTGATGCGCTGCTACACCGCCGACTCTTTCCCCTTAGACGAAGAGGTACCTGAAACCAAAACTAAAATTGTAAGCACGAAGCTTAATGAGTTCCCCCATCATACCGCATACCATACAATCACATATCATGCATACTGCCGGGCAATTCTGGGGTGCCCGACCTACCCATGTTAAGCCATTCTGGGGTGCTGACCTACCCATGTCGGGCCGTTCTGGGGTGCTGACCCACCCATGTCGGGCCGTTCTGGGGTACCGACTACCCTTCGGTACCGGCAACGGGGACTATTTCACCCCTACCTCTATCATACAAAAACAAATATAATCATACGGTCAGGCATATCTGGGGTACTGACCTACCCTTCGGTCCTATGCTACAACCACTAACTCATATAGCACATCACATAAGCATGTCTCATAAGCATATCACATAAGCATACCAAGACAATTATCACAAAGATAATTATCTATCAATTACTCTTGTTGGTGGGCCGGCATTATGGCCTTAGACACACCCCCTACTAGAAGGTAATTCACCTCGATGTCGTGTAGCATCTGTAATGTCCTCGGTGTGAAATTCGGCTCTCCTTGACTCCTCAATCCCAACACGACAACCCTTCTAAGTTATCAATTTGTACTAACAACCCCTACAAGGGTCAACTTGAATCCAAGTCAAAGTCAAAGTCAAACCCTGGTCAAGTCAACTCTTTGGTTGACCCGACTCGCCGAGTTGGTCCGCCAACTTGCCGGTTCCCTTCATCCACATAATACTACAAACCCATCCCCACTCGTCGAGTCTAGAAAGAGCTCGACGAGTTCACCTTCAACAACACTTCAGTCAATCTTTAACCGACGCGACAAGTTCTTCCTTGAACTCGTCGAGTTCATCTTCAGCATATGAATGCGTCCAGTTTATGACTCGTCGAGTTGTATGAACAACTCGTCGAGTCCATCTTCAAAGATTGGGATATTGCCTTGTACTCGCCGAGTTTGCTCGAACACTCATTGAGTCCCATGATTTTCAGGTCCCTTATGAGCCTAAACAACTGAGGGACCTTCCACACTATCATTAGGTCCATCGACAGAAAGAATTTGGTGGTCATTACACCCCGACTCGCCGAGTCCATCCTTGATCATTACTATATAGTCGATTTAAATGGGTCTTAACACATCAAAACCATAAATATTGCCTCCTAATGTCCATTTTACACGTAAAGTTCCAAGTTTGGTGCACATGCAAGGGGTCTTTAGCTCAAAAAGCCATAAAAGATGTTCTACCAAGTGCATGGGGCTCTCATGGCCATAGAGTTGGCACCTTTATGCCATGAGACCCCTCCAATGACCAAATCTGAAGTCAAAACTCCATATAATCCTTCATAAATCCGAAAATGGCTTAGAAAGCCCTAAATATACTCTAAATCCAAGCCCTAAGGATAAATAAACACATGGAAGACCAAGACAGGGGCATTTTACCTTGAATGAGCTGGAAATGGAACAAAATCTCTGGATCTCCAAGCCCCAACTCGAACTCTCAAGCTTCCTTTATCTTTTCAAGCTTCACAATCCACCAAAATGCACCAAAATAGCCTTAGGACACTCACACAAGGCTAGGGTTTCGAGATAATACTTTCTGGGAGTAATAGGGGTTATGGAGGTTGAGATAAGTTGTTTAAATAGGGCACAAACCCTCAAATATTAGGGTTTGACCCAAACAGAACCTACTCGCCAAGTCAGTCTCCCAACTCGTCGAGTAGGTCATTTAAACTGTCCGCGCATCACGACTCCACTCGATGAGTTGGGCCACCAACTTGTCGAGTCCCAGAGAAAAACATAAGAAATACTTGAAAGGAAGCATACCAGGGATCGAGGGTTACAAAAAATTAGGGTTTTTGGTCCTAAGCACGTACGTTGTGTGTACCTCTTCGTACGCTAAGAGTACGTGCATGCCTCCGAGTTCCTTAATAGACCACTACGCCCTGCGTACACCAAGATTACACCCAACGTACAGCCTTAGCAAGCCCACTCAAATAAAGCCTAATACCACTAAGCCCACACAACCTGCATAATTAAACAATTAGATAAATGATTAAATAATTGAATAAGACCTTGGAACCATCGGGCGTTACAAAACCGATCTTACCGGAAGGAGGATGGTCGATCGTAACACTAGTACCGTGGATTGAAGCACCATCTTTGTCAACAAGATGGTACTTCTCCAAAATTTGGTCCAAGCGATCATGAGTCATAGTCGACGACAATGCATGCATAGCAGAGCGAGACATTTTCTAGAGAAGACGAGGTAGCAATAACAAAGAGAATAATTGACAAGTCATTGGTGAAGGAACAAATGATGTGACAAACATTTATAAGGGTAAATAAGGCATGAACATCAACCACTGACAAACCAATAGATCAAGCGGTTACGTGAATACTCAAGCACGTGTAACCAACGTCGAACACTTCGATATCTACAACATTTAAAAGCACATTTAAGCCCAATTATTAAAAACGGCTTCATAAATTCCCTTAACAATTTGCATGGGGGCTTAATAGTGTATGAGGGTCAACCCATACACAAAGACGATACAACACCACCAAAAGCAGCCTGACCACGTATAATAAGCCCATAACTTACCAGGCAGGTACTCCTTAAAAGAAGAAAACCAACTACTTAAACAGGGAAGCAATAATTTGTGGCAACAAAATCAGCTGTATGAATCCTTATGCAACTTCCCAAGAAACACGAAAAATACAGTATTTTTATATTGAATAGTACAACCCTTGCATCATATGGATAAAAACATCACCCGCTTAAAGGAGCAAGAACCCATACCATTCTACATGTATAAAAGAACTTCGATACACATCGACAAAGGCAACACTCTCTCATATTAAGCAATTTTACTACACTTCTACCCGACATCTAACTTAGGTATCAGAGAGTAATATCGGGGCCCATCCCTCGGTATCATTTTCTAACCTAATGTGTGACTATCTTTTGTAGTGTGCCATCATGAATGTGCATTAGAAGAGGATTCATCCGATTCGTTATCAGACATCTGGAGGGTTACGTAACAAAAACTATCCCTCGCAATGTTAAATATTTCAGCATCTATAATTAAAGCGAAAAAATGATTGAGGTATGAAAAATATGAAACACTAAATTAGTGAATAAGTAAATTACTATTATTATATAAGAAATTGTGATGTCTAATGACCTATTAATATTTATACATATTAACTTATAAGTATAAATGAACATATTGATATATAATAACCAAATCCATCTTTGGTGTGGTTCGGTGTCTACGGTCAACATAATATCAAAAACTGCACCGCATCGTAAATCATCGATTTTTAGTTTGATTTTGGTTTTTGGGCTTTGGTTTTTACAGGTTTTTTATTTGTATTTTTTATTTCATTTCGGTTTTTGCTCATGTCTACCATTTATCATGTTCACATTTCTCCATAAATATTTCTGCCAAGTCTTCGGTATGCCCACATCAATATGATTAACTTGGATAGTACTATGTGTAACACTTGTGATGTTGTCGTTAAAACTTTGGATCAAATTTTCTTTATTGGTAAGTGGCGCTTAATATACGGTAATTCTATACTTACCTTATATTTAATACTTCGGTTTTGGTTTTTTCGGATTTTTGATTTTTATTTTTTGTTTCGGTTCAGTTTTTGCTCATGCCTACCATTTGTCATGTTCACATTTGTCCATAAATACTTCAGCTAGGTCTTTGGTATGCTCACATCAATAAGATTAACTTGGATAGTACTATGTGCAACACTTGTGATGTTGTCGTTGAAACTGTTGGTGATTTTATATAACTAATATTATTTAAGTGTAATTAAGTTAATTTGTTGTTCAATGTCATTTTGACAATTATTGAACAAATTAGTATGGTGCGGGGTGCACATTTGTTTAATTTTTTCTTTGTTGAAAGTATATTGCTATTTAGGGGCGAAGCCCCTGAAATGACGAGGTTTTGGGGCAGCGCCCCTGGGAGCGGGGTCCAAGGGGCAGAGCCCTTAGCTGGGGTCGAGCTGGTTATAGACCCGTTTTTATGTCTTTTGTTGCTATATAAAAATGGATTAGAAATCCGTTTTTTGGAATAAACTCAGTTTTGTAACCCTGGTTATAGACCCGTTTTTATGTTAGTTTGTGACATGTAATGTGATAGTTTTTTTGACAGGAAGTTGTTTTCCTGTAACTATCATATGTCAGTTTTAAGACAGAAAGTTAGTTCTTGTTATATGATCAATTTCGAAATCTTCTTGGGTACAAATCTTTATAACATCTTCTTTCATTCTCCACTCTAGAAAGCATTGAGTTTTATCTAATTAAGTATTTTCGAGTGTACCCTTGAAATGCTTTAATCTAAAAATATTTCACAACTCTTATTGAACCAAATAATTCTATACCCCGATTTTATAACATAAACTTTGGATCACATTTTTTTATTGGTAAGTGGCGATTAATATAGGGTAATTACTCTCCTCCTCCCCATACGCACACAAACATTGCTTCATGTGCCTACTTTGTGAATGAGTGATTGTATGTATCCCAATGATGTTATTATATACGAGTGAAATGTACATATAATAATATAATAAATAATTTGTTGTCGGGAGATTACCATGTTGATACTTTGACAACTCAATGATTTTCAAGCCATGGATCAACTAACAAATACTCACTTATTTACAAAGGAAAATAATTCATACACAACAAATTTTTTCCATACACAACAATTTATGTTTTAAAGTGTTGTATTATACGATTCAATTAAACATACATTGTTGTATACGGATAAAAATTGTTATGTACAAATCACTTTTCATTTACAAAAGTGCTTATATGTTATTGTTACAACAATTTGCACACTTTAGAGATTTCAAAACGACACCATCTTTGTAACAGCAAAACTGTGAAAATCTATCAATTTTTATTTTATAGCAACCTATTTTTTTCTTTTTGTTTTACAATAAAATTTCAAAGTTTAATAACTAAATCCTAGCTATAATTATTTTATAATTGGTTTGGTTGGTTTTAAAATCTAATTAATGTTTTATTTTATTGAAATCCGCCTTCCTCAATAAACAAAAGAATACAGTCGTCCACAAGTGATAACTAAAATTTTTGACAATGGAAAAACATGTACTTGAAAATTTCATTCATTCAAATCGAAATATAATTATATGACGTTTTCCAGTGTAATAACAAATTTCAAAACTCAGAAATAACTAAACAAAACAAACATTTTCTAGAAGCACAGATAAATAACACCACTTTCCAACCCATCTGTAACACAACCCCAAACCCCAAAACAAAAGTTAAAATTGCTTTATTGCTGTCCTATTGACATAACCCAGCTTTATCACCACCATAAACATATCACTCAGTGTTACAAAACAACTTTTTTGGCCATGACAACACATTCATTTTATTTTATTTTATTTCAAAATATTCTTAAATGGCCAATTGTTTAAAATACTTTTACATTTTATTGATTTTTTCTTTCAAAAGTATCCACAAATGTTCTTTATAAAAAAAATTATAATGACAATGCCTCTATTAACGTAGAGAAAGTTAATTATTATTATTATTATTATTATTATTATTATTATTATTATTATTATTATTGAAATAAAATTAAGTTATAAACAGTAGTTATAATATTAAACTATTAATGATATTTACAGTATGTTAGAGTGAAAGAAAAGTAAGCCACCTTTGTCATCTTATTTTGTTTGGGTTATTTGGTTTGTTAAACGAATTAGATTAAAACCCGTGTTAAATAAATAAAGATTAGTTTATTTGATTTGGGTCTGGTTAAATTTTATTGTTTTGCTTAATTCGAATAAATAATTATATATGTAGATGTTATTTGTTATGAATTAACATTTAATTTTTAATTTATAAGCTGATTACCAAAAGTTCTTTATTAATTAGCTTGTTACTTAGTAATAAATAATTATACTTAAGTTGTATTTGTAGGCATCTAGGGGTAATTTGTGTTTACGTTTGCGTTTGCGTTTTTTGTTAACTTGTTATGATTTTTTTGTTTGCTTGTTCTAGTACTGTTTCTTTCTGTGATGTTGCCGGGTGCCGACAGTTTTTTAACAAATTTTTGGTAACATGTTGTTAAGGTTAAAATATTTATCCACTCAAGTAAAAATCTTGGGTATCACTAATCACATGATTCAACATACTTTATAATTTTATATATTTATATTATAAAATCACCAAAGTTACTCTCTCTTTTATACATTTACAGTTACGTATATACTTATTTTTCATTTGTTACTAGTTACTCTTTCTTTTTTAATAGTCCTGAGCACATGTGGGACTTGCCACCGTACATGGCCCATGTTGTAAGAGTGGAAATTTTAATATGTCATGGTTCCGTCACTAATTCATCGCTAATATGTTGTTAATCTGTCATACATGTCTCTACTAGGTGTGAGATCCATGTATTACATGGGTTTGATTAAAATATATATATATATAAAATTTTAACAATTTGAAAAGTTTGAATTTATAAGAAAAATGAAAAAAAAAAAAACTTGAATTATTAAAATTAATAAGACTTTAATGTATTGAATACATTACATATATAAACTGTTTCTAATGAATACTTTGCATATATATTACTTTACACATTAAATGTGGAATTTTAATTTAATAAAATAAAAAATACAATAAAATAACAAGTGGAAAATAAAATTTTTAAAAATTCTACAAAATAACATGTGTCCAAATGAATGAGAAGAGGACATGTGGCAAAAAAACTTTCATTTATTATAGGAGATCCGTTGCTAATCCGAAATTATACCAGACACGTTTTTAATTTTCTCCCAAGATCTTCAAAGTTAAGTTAACGGACCGACCATACATTTAATAAAGATGTTTTTGATTATGTTAAATTAGAACACAAACTTAAACAATTAAATAGTAATAATGTAAATTTTAATATGTTACTCCAATTAAGTTTCATTCGTTTTAACCGGTAATCTAACCGGGCCGAATAAACTGAAACCGATTAAATCAAGTCTTATTTAATTTGGTTACGATTAACATAAGGAGATTTGGAGAAACGATTATCAACCGAATAACGCCATAGATGCGGACTTCGTGAGAAACCTTAGACATGGTGGTCTATTTTTGTCATTTCAATTTTCATGTTATAAAAAAAATAGGATTTTGACATATTTTAGGTCATTTTGACATCTTACTAGTTTTACATTTAACATTGTATTAAATTTAAGTTATTTCAAAAAATATTCATTGAATACTTTTAGTTTTTGACATTTGATTTATATGTTACATTTAATAACATTTTTGAAATAATAAATTAAATATATTATGTTATATATTTAAATTAATAAATTAAGTATATTAAGAGCTTTTATTAAAAAAATAAAGTTATCCGGCGATTTTAAGTCTTTTTGAAATTCCACATTTCCTCCACTAGCGGGATCAAACACAGGTAGGGTTATCATCAGAGTTTAATTCTATCTGTCTTCCCCTCCGATCAGCGTGTGCTGGATTGCTTATTTGATTCTAATCGGCTTGTTAATTGCATATGGAGAATCGATGGCGTGGTGATGATTCTTGGAACAAGAAACAAAAAAGTCAAGAAAGAAACAGGAGCCATTGTATTGGTCCTCACATGAATCGTCTTACTATAAGTCTTAACGTCCAATCTTTCTATGTTACAAATTTTCCTGAATGGGTACATTTCATTAATCTTTGGAAGGTTTGTTCCCGTCTGGGTAATTTATTTTATATCTTCATCTCTAATAAAATATTGTGACTAGGTAAATGTTTTGGATTCGTTCGTTTTAAAGGAGTTCGTAATGTAGATGAGATGGTTAATAATCTTCGTGACATTTGGTTTGGCTCCTATAAGTTATTTGTTTCCTTAGCAATAATTCATAAGAATGATGCCTCCCATTTTCCTCATGGGATTCCCTCTAAAGTCGTGAAGCAGGTTTCTCAAGGGAATTCTTATCCTAGTGTGCTTAAAGGTCCTTCTTTGAATCATTATAATAAAGCTCCGGGGGATGAGATCATTGAGTTACATGCAGGAGATTTTTTTTTGAAAAAAAGAAACTTGCTTGTCTTTCCAAGGCTATACACTTTCCTACCTTGCCTAATCTTCGAATGTTACGTCAAGATGAAGGTTTTGATGATTTTGAAATCCATTATGTGGGAATTCTTTGAATTTTTTTTAATTCAAATCTCAGGAAGCTTGTAGAAATTTTATGGATTGTGAGGCCATTGATCATTAGGTTACTGAAAAACGAAGTTGGGATAGGAATTTTGTGCCTCAAGGTCATATTGTATGGGTAGATATTGAAGGAATTCCTCTACGTGCAAGGAGTAAGCCGACATTTAGAAAAATTATGGTGAAGTAGGGAACTATTGTACAACTTGGTGATGTTCATGGTGACGATGTTTATAAAAACCATGTTTGCATTTTGATGTCGTATCATGGAATTATTTATGAGGAATTAAAAGTTAGTGTTGATGGGGTGTTATTCCCCATTTGTGTAAAAGAAGCCCCTAGATGGACCCCTTCCTTTTCTCATATTGTTTCTTCTTCTCAGGGTGATGAAGGTGAAGATAATAGGCATAAGCTTGATGATGAAATCTCTAATTCAATTCAAGATAAAGATGATGCTTCTTTGGGACCATTCAATATTTATGAAACATTGGAAAGGATGGATAGAGAAAATGTTAATGTTGTGAAATTTCCTTTAAAAAGAAACTTTAGTAACAGTGGGTGTGGTAAAAAAACTCTAGATGTTACCCCTCCTCGTGTAAATCTTAAGATTGCTATTGCATTATCTTTGGAATTTTCTTCTCTTCCAGTTGAATTCGCTACGCTGGTTGTTCAATCAGCTGTCTTACCTCCGGATGCGATCAAATCGATTACATCTCCTCCTGATTTGGTCACTCCTATCATTCTTGTTCATCATGCAGCTCCACTGAATTCTACATGTTCGGCCATGGTTAATGAGGTTCCTGTTGTGGAGTCTCATCCTAATGTTACAGTTAGATCAAGCTCCATTCCTTTGGGCTTTTCGGGCTGTTTTGGTAGGATTTCAGGTATTGATATTGATGAGGATGATCTTTCACATCCTCCGAGTTATTCTATTCCATGCAACTCTTTTGGAGATGGAAACAAATCTTTGTTGGAGGGCTCGTTTAACAATCATAAGTTTTTTATTGAATTAAATAAAAAACTGGAGATGGGTGAAGCGATTGGGTACAATGTGGAGGGATGTTTTAAATGGTTGAAACAAGTTGTTGAAGGCCACGGTTTGAATCATAATTTACTATAAATTGTCTCTCAATTAATATACAAGAAGCGGGGTGTGTGGATAAATGATCTTGGATTTGTGTCACCTTCATAAGGTGATTTTTCTTGTTATTCAGGAAACAAAGATTGAAAACATTAATTTAAATTTGATCAGATCATTTTGGGGTAATTTATCTTTCACTCATGATTTTTCTCCCTCATGTAGTGCTTCGGGTGGTATTATTGTTATATGAGACCCTAATCAAATTACTCAGAAGAGGGTGGTTGTTTCTGACTGGTTTGTTGCGGTTGAGGCGGTGGGTCCACTTCTAGTATTGATGTTATGTTTATTGTAGTTTATGCTCCTCAGGGAGCTAATTGCAAGAGATAACTTTGGTATAATATTTCTAGCTTGATTGCTACTTCTCTGGGGGAGTGCATTATTATGGGAGACTTCAATGAAGTTTAGGATGAGTTAGAAAGACTGTGATCGACTTTTCATCTAGCCTCTGCTATAACCTTCAATGAGTTTAATGATCAAGCTTCTTTAATTGATGTCCCTTTAGGAGGTCCTAGATTTACATAGGGTTCTAAGTGGGGGTCCAAGTTTAGTAAATTGGATAGTTTTTGGTTACAGAGGGATTTCTTCATTCTTTTCCTTATGTCTTGGTTTGATTTTGGAAAAGAAAATCCCTGATCATCACCCTATTCTTTTATTGGAGCATTATATTGATTTTGGCCCTACTCCTTTTCGTCTCTTTCATTCCTTGTTTGAGTTAGATGGATTTGATGGTGTGGTTGATGAATTTTGGTCAAATTCGGTTGAGGGGTTGGATATTTATAGCCCATGAGTGATTTTTAAGAAGAAGTTATAGCTTCTTAAATCGAACCTACATGCATGGAATGTGACAAGTCGTTCTCATCTTTCCATCCACAGAAAGGAGTTGCAGGTTTTGATTGAGGATATTGATTCTCATTTCCTGGAAGATATGGACTAAGAGAAACTGAGAGAATACATGGTGTCTTTTTAGAAAGATTTGATAGATTTAGATCACTTGATACATAGTGAGATTACACTATAAAACGAAGATTCGGTGGAGTATTAGGGGTGATGAAAATTCAAGTTACTTCCATGGTACTTTTAATCGAAAAAAGAGGCAATTAGCTATTCTGGGAGTTATGATTGATGGGATGTGGATGTATGATCCTAATATGGTTAAGGATGAATTTCATTCTTATTATGCTTACATCTTTTTGGCTCAAAGGGGATTTTGTCCAAAGACAAATCCTATTCTCTTTAATACCCTCTCGATGTTGCAGGTTTCTTCCCTTGAGGCTACTTTCTCTCGTGAAGAAATCAAATGGGAAGTTTGAGATTGTGGTTTGTCTAAGGCTCTGGGTCTAGATGGCTTCACTTTTGATTTTTTTTTGAAGTGTTATTGGGATATGGTTGAAGATGATGTCGTGGCGTTTGTTTTACATTTCTATTCCCATTATTCTATTTCTAAAGGGTGTGATGGCTCGTTTTTTACTATCATTCCTAACGTGGGAGATCCGAAGACTATGAAAGTCTTTAGACCTATTAGTTTTATTGGTTTCCAGTATAAGATTATTGGTAAACTTTTAGCTAATAGGTTAGTCGATGTGGTGCATAGTATTATGAGTATGGAGCAATCTGGCTTTATTAAAGGTAGACAAATTTTGGATGGTCCTTTCTTGCTAAATGAAGTTGTTTCTTGGAGTAAGGATTCTGGAAATCCTTTGATGCTTTTTAAGGTGTATTTTTAGAATGCTTATGATTATGTGTCATTAGATCACTTGTTAGAGATTATGCAGATCATGGGTTCTGGTTCTCGGTGGTGTGGTTGGATTCTTGAGCTTATAAGATTGGCCAAAGCTTTAGTTTTAGTTAATGTTTCTCCTACTGATGAGTTCCAAATCAAAGAGGGCTAAGACAGGGTGATCCTTTATCTCCTTTCTTATTTATTATTGCTATGTGTAACATCCTGAGATTTTGCAGGTATTCTGAATCCTCTCCTCTATCATTATTTTGTCATTTGTAGCCCTTGAGGTTGGAAGTGTCAAGCCAGGACAAGTCTAAGTGCCAAGGTTGCAACCTTGGATCAGGAAGGAGTACACTGAGCGTACATAAGAGTACGCTAAGTGTATTAATTTGCGCCTTATTACGATGGTCGTACACTTGTGTACGCTAGGTGTGCTTATGTCAGGAGAAAACCCTAATATTTAGGGTTGGGGGCTATGTAAACACCCTTATGGCTCATTTTCTCTCATCACTTCTAGCCTCCATCTTCCAGAAACATTCCAAACCCTAGTTTTGTGTGTTAGTGTGAGTTAGTGTGTGTTTTAAGCTCTTAAAGGTGAACGCATTGTATCAAATAGTTGGAGAAGGAAGAAAATTTTGTAGATCTGAAGTTTCCTTGTGTTATAGAAGCTCCAGAAGGTAAAAAGCTTCAAACTTTATGCTTGTATGTTATAGATCTTGCAATGCTAGTTTTATGGAACCATTTCTTGTCCTAAAAATCCCAAGTTGATGCATTATATGATTTGGACGAGATGAGCTGTCCTTTCAGACCCTTAAGGAGGTCCTAAGTGATAAAAATGATGTCCCAATAGCTAAATGTGTCTCATGCATGGAGTAGGAAGGTCTTAATGGATTAAGATGATGTCTTAGCACTCATGAATGTTGCAGCAAACTTGCTATGTCTAATACCATTCAGACAAATCTACAAACCAAATTCATGATAGTCTTGATTCAATAGCTACTTCCAACTTATGATCGACTATGGATAGTTTGAATAATATGATATACCATAACATAATTATTCTAGATGTCAAAACATGCAAAATGAAACAATAGTAAATGACTGACACAAGATAGTACCATACTAGTAAATAAAAAAAACACCTTTTATTTAAGCATCAAATGTCAATTACATTTCAAATATTACAAGTTTTGAAAGCTATCTAATCATTAAAACTAATATCATCCTTCAGCCCGATGTGCCTCGCATGCTGTAAATGCTTAACCCTACTCAGTCCCTTCATGAAGGGATTCATCGGGTTCTCATCTGATGATACCCTCTTTGCCACGAGGAGTCCTTCTTCTATTCGATGTCTAATGAGGTGGTATTTTCTGTCGATGTGTCTGGATCTGTCGTGATCCCTTGGTTCCTTTGCCAAGGCAACTACACTCTCGCTGTCACAGAAAATATCTATAGGCTCTTTTATAGCTGATACAATTCCAAGGTCACCAATGAAGTTCTTTAGCCATATTGCCTCCTTGGCCGCCTCACTTGTTGCGATGTACTCCGATTTGCAAATTGAATCAACTACTGTCTCTTGCTTGGAACTTTTCCAAGTTATTGCTCCTCCATTCAGGGTAAAGACCCAGCCCGACTGAGAGCAGAAAGTATCCCTATCAGTCTGAAAGCTAGGGTCACTATACCCCACTACTCTCAAGTCATCGCTCCCACTGAGGGTAAGGGCCCAATCCTTAGTCCTCCGCAAGTACTTGAGAATGTTCTTTATCGCAGTGCGGTGAGCCTTACCTAGGTTCCCTTGATGTCTGTTGAACATGCTTAAAGCAAAGGTCACATCAGTGCGAGTACAAGTCATAACATACATGATCGAGCCAACATCAGAAGCATATGGTATTCGACTCATCTCAGCTATCTCAGCCTCTATACTCGGACTCTTAGCTTTACTCAGTTTGGCATTGCTCTGCATTGGTAAGTCACCTTTCTTGGAATCCTGCATGCGGAATATTTTCAACACCTTATCCAAGTAGGTAATTTGACTAAGTCCAGTTAATCTTTTACTCCTGTCTCTCAATATCCTTATCCCAAGAATATAGGCAGCTTCTCCGAGGTCCTTCATAGTGAAACACTTCCCAAGCTAGGACTTAACCTCCTACAAGGTTGGGATGTGATTTCCTATGAGCAGTATGTCATCCACATACAATACCAGAAAGCTAACTATGCTCCCACTAGCCTTGACATATACACAGGACTCATCCTCGCTTCTCGAAAAGCCAAACTCTTTGACTTTCTCATCGAAACAAAGATTCCATCTACGAGATGCTTATTTCAATCCATAAATGGATTTCTCAAGCTTACACACTCTATTAAGGTACTTTGCATCGAAAAAACTCTCTGGCTGACTCATGTAAACATCCTCAGCCAACTTTCTATTAAGGAAAGAGGTTTTGACATCCATTTGCCATATATCATAATCATGAAATGCAACAATGGCTAGCATAACCCTACTAGACTTAATCTTCGCTACTGGGGAGAAGGTTTCATCATAATCAACTCTCGAAGTTTGAGTAAAACCCTTCACAACCAGTCTCACCTTATAAGTGTGTACTTTCCCATCCATGTCGGTCTTTTTCTTGAAGATCCATTTGCACCCGACTATATTACGACCTGGTACATTGTCAACCAAGTTCCAAACTTGATTGTCATACATGGACTGAATCTCACTGTCTATTGCCTCTTTCCATTTAACAAACTCAGGGCCTGCCATGGCTTCCTTGTAGCTGTTAGGTTCATCCAAATTTATCAGTGTGCTATCACTGATAAGTGTGTCACCCTCAGATGTTATATGGAAACCATACAACACAGGTGGAACACTAACTCTATTGGAACGCCTCATAGGTACATACTCGTCAATCGGCTCAACATGAGTTTCCTCCTCTGGTTGATCGCTGGTGTTTAAGGTTCCTTCACTAATTGACTCTTGAAGTTCCTCAAGGTCAATTTGCCTCCCACTGTCTCCTTGGCCTATGAGCTCTCTCTCTTTCTCTCTCTCTCTCTCTCTATCTATCTATCTATCTATCTCTCTTGTGAAAGACTCATCTCCTCGCAAGGAAGATAACATTGTCACTCGGTCTGTAATAGAGATAACCAAAGGATTTCTGTGGGTAGTCAATGAAAATACACCGTTCACTTCGAGGTTCGAGCTTGTTATGAGTCTCGCACCTCACGAAAGCCTCGTAACCCCAAACCTTGATGTGGTATAATG